CTTTACAGTTTTCATACTTCCTAGATGCTCAACTTCCTTTGATACAGCTCATATCTTATTTTTAAGAACTGTAGCCACAATTTCCATAAAAAAAGATCCTGACCCAGATTCAAAGGGAGGGTTCCAGAACTGGAAATGTGGCACGATGCTTGAAAAACACAATTTGCTACAGTAATGCTGACAGAGAATGTCAGGCTGGGGGAGGTAGCTCAAGAATTGAGCGGTTGCTTAGCATGTGAGAGGCTTTGGTTCAATACCAAGAAGAAAGTCAGGGCAGGACAGGAACTTTTCCAGAGTAAAGGAGACAAGATACATGATATTTGGGTGCAGTGCATGGTCCTACCTGGGTTCTATCCTTTTGCTAATTATCATTATCAAAGTTCAGAGATACACAGAATAAAGGTATCCAGGTTAATATTAGCCATAATAATAACTTGATATATAACCATAGTCAGCATTAACTATTAGAGTATCCTGCAGTGTTAGGGACTAGATAACAAATACAACAGATTTGCTAAGTTCAAAGATTTATTAGATGCCAGTATCTCTTCATTTACACCTCCACTTGAGTTTGTTCAGAATTGTCTCATTTCCTTTATAAAAAATTTTTACACAAAATTTAAAACTCTGCATATAAATATTTACAATATAATTTTCTTAATAATAGGAAAAGTGTGAATTGAGAAAATTTTTTATCTTCAGATTAGTTGAAATGGTTCACTGATTCTGCATGGTGGATTAAAAATATGTCTCACAAAGTTTTTAATATGGTTTCCTTGAAGAAGTAGAACTTAATTCTCCTCTTCGTAAGTGTAGGCTGGATTTGATAACTTGCTTCTGAGGATAGAAAATTATACGACAGTGTGTAACTTTTGAGACGGCATTATTGAAAAAAGCATTGTAATTTCCTCCTGACTCTGTCTCTAGGATCATTTCCTCCACAGTAATACAGCTGTTGTGTCAGAGAACACATAAGTAGCTCTCCAGAGAGACTCACATGGTGAGGAACTGCAACCTGCCAACAAGCATATGAGTGGGCCACTTTGGAAGTGGATATACTAGTCCCAGTGAATGCTCAGGTGACCGCACTGTAACTGCAATCCATGAGAGATACTAAGCCAGAAGCATCCAGTAAGCCATCTCTGAGTTCCTGAGCAACAGAAACTGTGAGATAAAATGCTTGTTGTCCTAAGGTGCTAAGTTTTGGAGTAATATATAACCTGCAACGATAACAGATATATTCAGGAAGGATTTTTTTTTTTAAAGGCACAGTAGTTGCACAAACCTGTAATTCTAGCTGAGGCAGGAGGATCTCAAGTTGGAGCCCAGCCTGGGCACCTTAGCAAGACCTTGTCTCAAAATAAAAAGGGGTACGAATATAGCTCAGAACTCCCTGGGTTCAATCCCCAGTTAAAAGTAAAATTAAAATAAAAGTCACATTTAAAAAGTAAGAAAAACCCATATAAGCATTAGAGAGAAAGAAAAAGTTACATTTTTTTTAAAGATAGGGTCTCATTATGTAGTTCAGGCTGGGCTCAAACTCACTATATAGCCCAGTCTGGCTCTGAACTCGGCACCAGCCTCTGAGTGCAGAAATTACAGGTGTGCACCACCACACCCGTCAGAAAAAGTAACAGAAGAAAGAAAAATAAGATTAAAAATTGTATATTTTATTAGTAATAGAGGCTGCAAGTCTAATACTACAGCTTCTGGATACAAAAAACAACATTCAGTTTACCTAAGGCTATAATTTGAATATGAAATATCCCACAAAGGTTCGTGTGTTAAAAGATAAGACCTATGTTAGAGAAGCCTTTTAGGGTTATTTTACGTCACTGGGAATGTTTTGTTTTTTTGTTTGTTTGGGTTGTGTGTGTGTGTGTGTGTGTGTGTGTGTGTGTGTGTTTTAAAACAAGCTTTTACTATGCAATCTACATCTTACTATGTGGCCCAGGCTGGCCTCAAACTCCAGGCAGCCCTCCTGCCTCAGGTTCCCAAGTTCTGGGATTACAGGTGTGCACCACCATGCCCAGCTTGGGCGTGTATTTGTTTTGTTTTGTTTCTTTGTGGCACCGGGGATTGAACTCAGGACCTGGTGCTTGTGAAGCCGGCGGGGGAACCACTGAGCTAAATCCCCAGTCCTTGGGTGTGTACTTTTAAAGAAGGTATGAGGCCCTGCACTCTTCCTGTCTCTCTGCTTCCTGGTAACCATGAGGTGAACGTCTTCATCCGCCATGCACTCCCCATCACAGTGCACTACCTCACCACAATCCCAAAGGCAGTCACCAGGCAACACTGGAAACTGAGCCAAAATAAACCTTCCTTTCTTATAACTGCTTACCTCAGGAATTTTGTCACAGGGATGAAAAACTGGCCAACACCTCTGTATATTATATGAAAAATAATGGAAGAACCTCATACTAATGCATACTAATAAATAATCCAGCTACTTGAGAAGCTGAGGCAGAAAGATCACTTGTGCCCTTGAATTTGAGACCAGCCTAGGCAACACAATTAGATCCCATCTCAAAAACAAAATAGACTCATACAAATAATGGAAGTATACTAGTTTCTTCCATTATTATAAACCACATAACCTTATAAAATGCAGTACCATTTAATCATAAATTCATCAAGGTACAGGGAATAAGACTGCAAGAAAAGGATATTTTACAGTATTTAAATCCAAGTGGAGACCATTGTGAATGAGAGTTTGTAATATATTTTTGGTTTTTGCCCCTTTTTAAATTTTTTTCTTGGTACATTTTAGATATACATAATGATAACAATCATCATGGGAATTTATAGCTGTATATAACATATCTTCATTCGTTTTTTCTCATTCCCCTCCCCTCCCTTCAACCCCTTTCCCTCCTTATTTATAAAAGCATTGTTTCTTTTTTCTCCTTTTTTTACTTCTTTCTTCTTTCCTTTTCCCCTCCACCCTCCTTTGTTCCCCTTCTCATTTGAACATTTTCTTCCCATTTCCCCATATGTATTCTACATTTTGGTCATTATTCACACGTTCAATTTCCCAAACCAGAGAAACAATGTGGTATTTAAACATGTGTGTCTGATTTATTTCATTTAAGAGTATGAAAACTTTGTAGTATTTTATAAAATGAATCTTAAAAGAGCAATAATATCCATATTTGTGGTATAATCTTAGGACTACTTTCTCAAACGTAATCCATCATTCAACAATCATGTGCTTGTAACTTGTACTTTATACATTAGTCTGTTTTTTTTTTGCTGCTGTAACAGAATACTTGAGACTGGGTAAACTGTACTGAAGAGAAATATACTGGTTCATGGTTTTGTAAGCTAGAAAGTCCAAGACCAAGAAATCAATATCTGGCAAGGGCCTTCTTGCTGCATTAACCCACCGTGAGAGGACAAAGGGAGAAAAGAATGTGACAATGAAGAAAGAGGATCAGACTGAGGGAAGGGGAAGGGTGGGGGTGGGGGACAAGAGAGAGCCAAACACATCCTTTTACAAGGAACCCAAGCCTGTGATAAAGGCATCAATCTATTAATCCATTCATTCATGGGTAGAACCTTTATGAACTAAACACCCCCAAAAGGTCCCCTCACTTAATATGGCTACAGTGATGATGTTTTCAACACTTGCTTTTTGATGGATATACTCAAACTATAGCATATACATTATGAAAAAATGGGGAGGGATTCATGGACTTTGGAATCCTCAAAGTGGAACTTCTTTTAAGAACTACTTGAAGGCCAGGCATGGTGGCACATGTCTATAATCTCAGCTCTGGGGAGGCCGAGGCGGAGGATCACCTCAAGCTCGAGGCCAGCTTGGGCTACACTGTCTTAAATAAGAAAACTATTGATACAGAAAAGCACAATTCCTGACCTGGTAGGCATTAGATATTAGATGTGCTGAGTTTATGGTCTCATGACCTGAAAGAATAAAGTAGTGAACCAGAGGAGGAAATTAGGACAGTTTTATTGGAAATGAAGGTAGTTTTGGTGCAACAGTAAAAGTGTGGTACCGCAATGGGATAATGCTTAAAAGGGCAGCACAGGTTACACACAAATTAGTACATGTAAAAACATGAAATCTAAGTAAGATTAGTAATTATTTTTTCACAGATGTTAACTTCCTGTGTTTATTGTGCTATAGTTATTTATTTAGATTTTTAAAGACAGGGTCTTGCTGTCTAGTTCAGGCTATACTTCAGCTCAGGCTGACCTTTAATTCAGGGTGATCCCCCTGCCTCAGCCTTCCAAGTGCTGGGACTACAGGTGTGAGCCCCCATGCCCAACCTGTTGTATACTGTATTTACATGTTTACCCTTGAGGGAAGCTGAGAAAAAAGTACATGAAACATATATTCACAATTTCCCGAGAGTTATAATTATTTCAAAATAAGGCGAAAAAATCAAACATAAGAAATACAAGTTCATTAAATATTTTCTTGTCTTTGAAAAAAATCCATTGACTGGATGGCCCTATAATTTATATTCATTATCTTTCATGAGATTATAAACCCTATTTTATATTCACCACAATTGAGATTTTGGTTAACTTGTCCAAGGCATAGGTAATGTTAGTTTTAACCTAAAGCAATCTAGAAGTTCCCCTCCACTTCCACTTCTTTGGAGAAACGGACTGCAGAAAAAGCTAGCATCTTTTCAGCAGTTGCCTCCTGATGCCTAAACTGCCCAATCTTTAATCCTTTTTTGGGACCCAGCCTACAAAAGCAGCTGTATCTCACACTGCCCAGCCTGGATCTCAGCCTTGCTCTTTCCCAGAACAAAGGCTAACTCCCGTAACTATTGTGGCTTCACACGCTGTGCCTTTTTATAACTCCACGGCCAGAACTCAACTTGCGGTCACGTGACCGCTCCCGCCCAATGATCGAGGCCCACGCTTGCCAGCCCTTCACGTGCTCTCACAGAGCTGGAGGTAGCTGTGCGCCGTGCCCCGGCCGAACGGTCCGCCCGCTTTAAGTCTCCCCGGAGGTCGGGGCCGCCTGGTTTAAGGGTTCCACCACGCGCTGTTTCTCAGTTCGGGCACCTGAGCGTGTCCTGGTTGGCGCGGTAGGGACCTATTTGAGATAGGAACCACTTCCTGAAGCGCGAGGCAGGAAGTTATCTGCTACCTCTGGAGTCCGGTGGAGAAAGCGCTGTCTGCCGCATTGTGACGGCGAAAGCTGAAGATATGTTGAGAGACAGGCCTTTTGGTCGCCCTCCTTCGCTCCACGCCCCCAGCTAGAAGCCGGTTTTCATCACAGCACCACGGCCCGGGTGTCCAGTCCTGAGCCCGGCGTGGCTGCCCCGAAGCCTCCTTCGGGTTCCTTGAAGCCGCTCCCAGGGGCACCTTCCCAAGCACCGCCTGGACCACCAGCCAGCGGACTGGCTCCCTTCAGCACTCTGGACCGCAGTAAGAAGTTTCCTTATCGCTCCACGCCCTGTCCGTTCTCCACAGACCACGGAGACCCTGGTCCAGGACGACTGCCTTGAACCCGGGACTAGAACGGATCCAAAACGCTTAGCCTCGGCCCACCACAGGCTGGACTCTGCATCGTCCCTGGTATGTCTCCCACCATCTCCCACAAGGACAACAGTCGGCAACGGCGGCCGGGGACTTTCAATCATTCCCTGGATATGAAGACCGGTCCTCTGCCCCCCGGCAGCTGGGATGACAGTCAGCCAGACTCGGTGGGCGGGGAGGAGGACAAAGAAGCGCTTCTGAGGGACGCTGACCCTGGTGACTTGAAAGCCCCGCGGAGCTGTCGAGCCGAAATAAGCAGCATTTTGCTACTGCTCTTTCTTTACGTTCTTCAGGGCATCCCCTTAGGCCTGGCGGGAAGCGTCCCACTCATTTTGCAGAGCAAAAATGTTAGCTATACAGACCAAGCCTTCTTCAGTTTTGTCTTTTGGCCCTTCAGTCTCAAATTGCTCTGGGCCCCGTTGGTTGATGCAGTTTACTTCAAGAACTTCGGTCGTCGCAAGTCTTGGCTTGTCCCGACACAGTATGTACTAGGACTCTTCATGATATTTTTATCCACCCAAGTGGATCGTTTGCTCGGGAATACCGATGGCAGAACACCTGATGTCCTTACTCTCACTGTGACATTCTTTTTATTTGAGTTCCTAGCCGCCACTCAGGACATCGCTGTGGATGGTTGGGCGTTAACGATGTTATCCCGGGAAAACGTGGGTTATGCTTCCACTTGCAATTCAGTGGGCCAAACGGCAGGCTACTTTTTGGGCAATGTTTTGTTTTTGGCCCTTGAATCTCCCGACTTTTGTAATAAATATTTGCGGTTTCAACCTCAACCCAAGGGAATCGTTACTCTTTCAGGTAGTGTATTTAAGGTGTTATGTTTTGGGGCTTATTTTACATCTATGAATTCTTTTGATACTTTATTTTGTTTTTTTTTTCTTTTTATTGAGTTTATTGGTACATTCTAGGTATACAGTACAGTTACATTCATTACTGGGATCTTGTACTTTGACACTTTATTTTGAAGGGAAGTTTATTATTTACTTTACTGGAAATCTATGGTTAATGACTCAAGTTATGCTTTCTGTTTTGTTAAAGTAGGCTTCCTTGAAGTGCAAGTAAAGTTAGATGACTACATCAAAGTAATCATAATTGATCAGTGCTATGCAGTAAACAGAGAGGCAGTGGATAAAATAACAAAACCCTTGCACCTAGGCATCCATGGGCACTTGCATAATATACAGATGGACATTTTTTTAAAAATCTAGCTCATGTGGCTTACATTTTCCATTTTGTGTTTTGGTGAACTGAGATTTCTAGCATCTTACTTTCTGATGCATTCCACCCCTAATTTTGGGCCAGTAGTCCTCATCTAGTCTTTTGGTGAACAGAACAGGGTTAATTCTTGCAGACATTTCTGAGTTGGTTAAGCAACAGGATTCCACGGACCTCCTATGAGTAAGACAGCCCTCCCAACAAGGAATGGAGAAGATGAACATTTCAGAGGAGCCCAGAGTTGCCAGCCATTGACTGCCTGTGGGAGTCAGGCTTTACATTGTACTTAATTTATGACTTTGTTCTTTGCTGGGTTTTTATTTAGATTGATTTGTTCTTGTGAATAGCTGGTTTAGTAACTGTGGAATTTGAACTTTGTTCTGGAAATTTTAAAAGCAGCTTACTCTTTAATTACCCCTCTCCTTCCCACTACTGGGGATCAAACCCAGGGCCTTTGCCCTGAGCTACATTCCCAGTCTTTTTAAAAATTTTGAAATAGGGTGTTGCTAAGTTCCCCAGACGGGGCTTGAACTTGTGATCCTCCTGCCTCAGCCTCCAAGAGTGTTGGGATTTCAGGTGTGCATCACCAAATCTAACTAAATTTTTTGCAGGGGGCAGGGGGTTACCGGGGATTGAACTTGGGTCCTTGTACTTTTGAAGCATGCGGCAGAACTACTGAGCTAATTCCTTGGCCCTAACTTAATTTAATGTTTATATCTGTAATGGGCTTCTGTTTTTGGTTCAGACGTTTTAGTTAAGCATAAAAGAGTTTCTGTAATTTTATTCTCTTCTAAATGATTATATGTATTAGTTTTGTACTTTGTGGAACTTAGTATTTAGCCAGTAGGGTTGGGTTTTTTGGTTTGTGTGATGCTTAGAATTGAATCCAGGGCTCACGCATGCTAGACAAGCGCTGTACTATTGGGCTAAGTCTCTAGCCCTAACCAATGATTTTGAGAAATTTGAAGAACAGAGAAAGAATCATACGAAGAAAACATAACTAAAAGGAACAAAACATCAAGGCAGTGTTTAGAAAAGCTGAGTATTAAAAGGAGGCATCGTTATTTTAAAAATTCTAAATTTGTGCTGTAATTGACACTGTTTTACATGTAGTAGATAAGCAGAGATGGAATATATTGAGTATATGTGTTGATGAGAGGAGCACAAGATAAATTACTGAGAAAACAGTATTTAGCAACTAGAAAACAGTAATCTACATAACAAATTTATTTAATGTTTAATTAAGTTTATTGGTACTTTTTATGTATACAGTACAGTTACATTCATCATTGGGATCTTGTAACTTTGCATGATGTATCTTGGTTCTTACTTTTTCCCCATTCCCGTGCCCTCTCTTCACCACCTACATAGCAAATTTAGACCAGGAAAGATAGAGAGTATAGTCCATTAGAAACCAAGCCTTGGCTATGCTGAGATTGTCTTTTTTCATACTTTCACAGATCCATGACAGTCCTGAATGCAGAAATAGCTTTTTGTGTTCTTACCCACTTTGTTTTTCAAGAATCTCTAGAGGTAAAGAGAGATCTTTTAAGCTGCAAGAAAGGTGAAAGTAATCTAGAAGAGCATAAAGATTGGAACATAAAGTTTTATTACTTGAAGAGATTGTGCATTTCAATTTCTTCATTCTTATAGATGAGGAAACTGAGGTCAAAGTGACAAGTTAGAGGTACAGATGTACTTGTAGTTTAGGCTTCCTACCTTCTTATCCTATAATTAGTTGGAAATTAGGAAAAACCTAAAGGAAAACTTGAGACCTGAATGTGTGCTGATTGGGCTTGTCAACCAAAGAAATGTAGCGCTCCCCTGATGTCTAAAAAAAAAATCATCTCGCTCTTTAAATGTCTGATTCCCAGAACTGATGTATTAAAAGTTTTTTTGTTTTAATGAATTAAATTTTTGGCAGTATTGGGGACTGAACCCAGGGCTTTCACACTGAGCAACATCCCCAATCCATTTTTTTATTTCTTGAGACCAACTCTCTCTAAGTAGCTAAGTTGTCCAAGCTGGTTTGGAACTTGGGATGTTCCTGTCTCAGCCTCTTAGAGTGTTGGGATTACAGGGGTTCACCACCATGCCGAGTTGTTTTAATTTCTTAACCAACCTAGGCCATCTATGTACACATCACTGAATGCCTATCGGGTGCTAGCTGAGTGATAGGTGTTATTATTTATTAAAATATAAGAATTTTCTGTTCCCAAGGAACTCATAGATTATTGTGGAGATTTACAAACCAAAATGACTCAGTGGGTAGATGGATGTGAGTCAGTAGAGCTGGTGCAAGACTATAGAAGTTGGAGGGATAATGATGACTCAAGAAACCCATGCCCTTCTGAAGGCAAGAAGTTTCAGTCGAGTAAATTGTTGGTTTGTGGCAGTAGGATTTCAGAATTGTTAGGCCTTATACATGTTCAAGAAAAGCTGGAAATTCCCTAGTAGTTGAGACTTCTCTAGTAGCAATAGTAACAATGATTAGAAGAAGCAATTGAGATAAGGAGCAGCATATTGGAGTTTGGAAGTAGGGTCACAAGACACCAGAGAAGAGAGATGGATATTAGAGTTGATAGGTTTTTTTGATAGACATGAACATGTAGGAGTCAGTCAGAGGAAGAGGGTATGTAACGTTGAAAAAGCAAATGCTATAAGTATGAATCTAATCAAATTTGCGATGTTAATAGCAGCTACTTTAAAGATGTTCCTGCTTTGAACTAGAAAAAAAAACCCGGACCATTAATTCCTACTTAGTAACAGTTGCTTTGCTTTCAGAAACAGTTCTCATTTGTATATTTTACACAACTAGAAATACTTCTTATAGAATTTCAGCATGCTAATTGGCCCACTACTAGATAAACCACTTATTCTTGGATAGGCTAAAATATATCCTTTAGCATTCATATGTGGCCTTGAAATATTACCTCACATTCTCAGAATGACAAAAGTGAGGCATAGAGGACAGATCTGTACTTGTTGGGGCTCTGTGTAGGAGAAGTTAGATGAGGATAAATGAACATATCAGAGAGTTTTGGGGATGTGGTACAACTGTATCCTGATTGTAATTATTTGAAATCTATGCATGTTTTCAAATTCATATTATAGTACACAAAAAAAATTTCAATTTTACTGTATAATTATTTAAAGTAAAATTTATTTTTTTAAATTATAAAACTATCCATTATCTCAAAAGTTAATTTCTAGGTAAATATTACTCAAAGTGTATGATATGAAATCTTTGACTTTAGCTTCCTTTTTGCCTTCAATGGAGCCAGTAAACAAATCCGGTTAATCTTACGTATCAATATAGAAAAAAACAGAGCAAATTTGAGCTTATTTTTAAATATTGGGGCCCTACTAATAAAATGAGATAAGTGGAAGAACATTGGGGTTAATAGAATTATATATGGAGAACCAGAGACCCATACCCCAGAAGGAAGGTCTTAGAGCCTTCTCTGTTTTTTTAAATACAGAGCAAATAAAAGATAAGTGTAGTATTTTGGTTTGGTTTGGTTATGTGAAGAACTGAGAAATGCCTTTGTGTACATATAGTACTACTTTTACTATATGAATATATCAATGAAAAAACCTTAGAGTCTCACTAATTACAAGCAGTATCCTTCTTTAATTGTTCATATGTTCCTAAAAACTATAACTTAATTTGAGAAGGCAAAATAGACTTACCTAATACAAAGGGCCATTCTGATCCTGGAAAATTAAGAATGTAAAATATAAAATCCTTGTTTTACTCTTTTAGCCACAATTATGAATAAATATTGCATATTATATATGCTTCTTAGTTTTATTCTTTTCCTTTTCCCTTGAATGCACTGTCTGCACTGGCTGAAATCCATTGGTTATCAATGAAGTTACAGAATAGGTGATTTCAGCATGCTTAAAGATTTCTAATTTTTTGATGTTTTATATTGTCTTACATTGACTTACTTTTCTTACACCTTCCATCTTAGAACTTTTATGTATTTAGGTTTCCATTTTTTAAACATTTATTTGTTTGTTTGTTTAAGACAAGTTCTCTCCATATAGTTAGGCCTTGAACTCCTGTGTAGCTCAGGCTGGCTCAAACTTGCAGTGATTCTCCTGCCTCAGCCTCCCAAGTGCTGCGATTTTAGGCCTGTGCCATCATACCCAGCTGTGAAGACATATCATAACATCTTGCATCAGAATGGAGATATATGTGCTTAACCAGAGTAAATTTTGTGCCTAGCCAGAGCGTATATATTTTTTAAAAGCAATCCATTTCCATCTGTCCAGTAATAAAAGTCCTAGAGTTAGCATGAGTTGGGAGAACTGAAGCTGTTGGCGCCTAGTCTCAGTCTTATGTTCTAGGCTGCATTTGAGACTAGCGTTTTAGGGCAGTATAGCCTATATAGCAAGCCATCTGCTTCATCTGGTGTTGATTTAAACAAACAACAAGCTGAGTGTGGTGGTACACACCTGTAATCCCAGCACTAGAGAGGCTGAGGCAGGAGGATTGCCACAAGTTTGAGTCCAGCCTGAACTACACATCAAGACCCTATCTCAAAGAAAGATAAATAGAAAGAAGAGGGGTAGAAGAAAATCTGACATTATCGGAGTTAATCAAATGGTATGTGATCTCATATGGCATCTGCCTAAGTGTTTAGGAAATGTAAGGAATTCCAAATGTTCAAAGATTACTTTGTGTTTACTCTATTTTTGCATTAAATGCTGTCTTTTAAAAACAATAAGTTAGATTATTAGATTGTATAATCAAAATAGCATTTTCTGGTGAGTTCTCTGCAACAGCTTAGATATTTTCAGTAAATACTTAAGAGAAATAGTTGTGAAATAAAAGAAAGGCTTATTTCTTCTAAGATTCACCTGGTGACCCAGTGCCAGACACATGATATTACTGTTTCAGTTTTCTTCACTGTGAAATTGAGAGCCTTGAATTAGATGGTGGGTATCAAATTTTCTTCAGATTCTAACTGTTAACTAGAGAGTGGTGCCAAAAACAAGAAAGTGAAAGGAAAGCCAGACATTTATTTACAATAGAAACTTACCCTTTTGTTTTTCCCATACCCGAATTCTAAACTAAGCTAGTTTTCCTACTGTAAATTATAGTTATTTCTTTACTCTAAGAGAGAGTTAGTGGGAGAGAGAACCCAATCTCAGCCAGAGTGGGCCTTAATATTCTCACCTCTTCTGACGGTGGAAGAGTGTGACAGAAAGGCTCTGAGGGCTTTTATGTCTAATGTTTTATCATAAACATTCTTGGAAATGTTACCTTCTCTACAATGAATTTATTGTAGTAAAATATTTCCCCATAAGTTAATGAATACAGTGGATTCTTTCAGAAGATATATAAAATTTGTTTATCCTGTGGATTTGTGTACCCTTCAGGACACCACCAATGGGGAAATAGATGGAGGTGAGATAGGGGAGTATATATATAGTTAGCCAGTTTAAAGAGGTCTAATCAAATATCTATGTTTCACACCTCATAGTTGGAACTAAAATATATTCTCTTTTTCTCAGAGATTTCTGGGTAATAGAAGAGAACATCTGCTTGGCCTGGGTATATCTGAACATCCAGGAAATATAATGGAAAAATATTCTAGCTTTAAAACTAGACCTGAGTTTGAATACCACATCTAGCACTTTCTGGCTTATGATCATGTTTATGTGTGAAATAGGGATATTAATGCTTATCTTTGTAATTTTTTTCTTTTCTTTTGTTTTTTTAAGACAGGATCCTACTATGTAGTCCAGGCTGGCATTGAACTCACTGTGTAGTCCAGGCTAGCCTCAAACACAGAGCAATCTCCTACCTCAGCCTCCTAGTGCTGGAACTATAGGCATGTGCCACCATGCCCAGTTTTGTGAATAATTTTTGAGAGTTAAATGAGATTACCAGAACTTTTGAATGAAAGCTTTGGCTCTGGAGGTCTCAAGGAATCAGATTCTTCTACCTGCCCCAAAACACCAGTCAAGGAGACCAGAGATGCTAGACAGCCGGCAAGGAGCTTTATTCAACATGACCATGTTGGGAAGGATAAAGAGGCTCAAGATGTATGTTTGAAGTCAGCCAGGGTGAGAAATGATATATGTAAAAGATGTTGCATTGTTTATGGCTCATGGTGTGCACTGAATTAATCGTGCCTGTAGCCAGGCACAGTGCTGCTGTAATCTTAGCTAACTCAGGAGAATCATGAGTTCAAGGCCAACTTGGACAACTAGCAAGACCCTGTCTCCAAAACAAAACAAATTTTTAAAAATGGAGATGAGCTGAGGAACTGAGTGGTAGAGTGCTTGCCTAGCATACTTGAAGCCCTGAGTTCAGTTCTCAGTACCAAAAAGAAAAGCTAATAAAAAATAAAATAATACATCTATTTATACTATTATTTTTAAGCAGGCTGTTTAACAGACTCTCAGACCATTATTCACTCCCACCACTAAATTTGTCCAGAGGTAATGATAGCTCAATGTCCAGCTATCTTTCACTGAAACCACCCAATATTACTCTTGCATCTTTATTCTGTACCTACACAAGTATGAGGAAATTGCTTCTGTATCATAGTTTTGTTTTCAATTAGAAAATTTTAAAAGAGAAAATCTGTAAATAATCATCTGTTATTTATTGTCTGGCTTGTCATAACTGAATTGGCAAGGGTATATAAGTATAGCCAGTGTATATTAGGAGATTATGAAATCATGCCTCACCTCTAGCACTTTCCCTGAATGACACAATAGGCTTTTGTTTCATTCAACTCAGTTTATACTAAATGTCTGTAATTCTTTTTTCTTGTTAAGTGCCACTGTTTATTTTGTCTCTATCTAATGTATGTTTAAGAGTTTAGGACTCATATTTGTCTGTTGTGCTTAGAATGATGTCTTAAGCATAATAAATAGGCATCTAAAAGGTTTTTTTGTTTTTAAGTTGAGAAAAAGTTTCATATAGAATTGTTTAGCATCAATGAAGTTATGTTATTTCAAAAGTTATTTATAGATTTAAACTATTCTTAATTTCAGATTTTCTCTTTTTCTGGGGAACTGTATTTTTAATAACAACGACTTTAGTTGCCCTTCTGAAAAAAGAAAACAAAGAAATATCAGTAAAAGAAGAAACACAAGGGATCACAGATACTTACAAGCTACTTTTTACAATTATAAAAATGCCAGCAGTTTTTACATTTTGCCTTCTGATTCTAACCTCAAAGGTAAGAAATTTATAAAGCAAATTTACCATTCTAATGATCATATCGTGGACTACATTCAATGACTTTTCATTTTTTTAAATTCCTTTTCTACTATTGTTAAATTTTAACATTGAAAACAATATTTTTCTGTTTATTAAATGTATTTTAAAAGATATATCAGGATAATTTCAGAGTAAACTAAATGTCTTGGGATCTTGAAAATAATTATGTCATTATGTGCAGAACTACTAATGACTAAAATTGTAATTAACAATATTAATGGAAATGAATGCCTTGAAAAAGTAATTTTTGAATGAAAAAATTCTCCACTGTTATAATGAATATACCTTTAATGTTGGTATAGTAAAATTACTTACTGAGAGTAAAGTTTACAAAGATATGGAAGTGTATCAGTTTTAGAACTCTATTTAAAAGTCTATTGAATTTGGTTTTTTTTTGTTTTTTTTTGTTTTTTGAGACAAAGTCTTGCTGTGTACTGCCAGCTGGCCATGAACTTATTATGCAGTCCAGGCTGGCCTCAGACTTGCTGTGATCCTCAGCTTCCTAATATATTTTTTTAAATAATTAAAGAAAACAAGATAAAATGGGATTACAGTGCTAGTGAGTTTTATTATGTATTAAAATGTTTCATAGTTCTAAAATGCTTTTGTGGGGTGTGTGTGTGTGTGTGTGTGTGTGTGTGTGTGTGTGTGTTGGAGGTTGAGCCCTGGGCCTTCACACTGAGCTACATCCCCAAATTTTTTTTATTATTCTGAGACAGGTTTTCACTGAATGGCTAAGTTGCTCAGACTGGGCTCAAACATGATCCTCTTGCTTCACCTTCTCAGAGTGCTAGGATTCCAGTGTGTACCACCATGCCTGGCTAGTTCTAAAACATTTTTAAGGGATTATGCTAAGAGAAGGATAAGCATATTTTGTTACAGTGAGCTGTTGCTACTCTTGGAATTAATATTCCTAAAATCTAGAAATTTATAGGATTTTCATTTCATATATTTAAACCTACCTACATAAATACTTTATAGCTATCTTTTGATAGCCTCAAAGGAAATAGCTTCATTGTTTTAATTTTGTTTTGGTTTTTTTGTTGTTGTTGTTGTTATACCAGGGATCAAACTCAGGTCCTTGTGCTTGCAAGGCAGGCAGCGGAACCTCTGAGCTAAATCCCCAGCCCTCCGCTGTTTTCATTTTGAATAATGTTTTTCCTCCTCTTTAATGATAGGGAAGTAAAGTTTAGAAATGCTGAGCAGTTCAAGGAAAGTAATATCTCTAGGGCTAGGGTTCAGTGGTGCTGCTGATGCTCCCTGCCTCACAATATCAAGCCCTGATACCAAAAAAAAAGATGATATTATCTCATTATAAAATTCGAACCAAATATCATCAGCATTCCATGCTGTGCTTGTACTTACTATTGTAGCCCAGGCCGGCCTAAAACTCATGATGATCCTCCTGCCTCAGCTTTCTGTGTGTGGGGATTATAGGCCTGTGCCACAATACTTGACTGAAAGCATACTTTGTAATAGCAACATAATAGTCATAGTGATGTAAATTTGCCATAATCTACTCAGGCATTTTTCTGTTATATATTTGATTTGCCTATGCTTTTAATTATAAAAATGCACTAGTAAACATTTTTATGCATAAACCTTTATTTGATATTCTGAATATTTTTTCAGTAAATTCTTAAATGGGAAATTAGTGGGTCAGTGAGTATGACTACTGAATTGCTTTTTAAAAGGTTGTACTCATTTATACTACCCCTAACAATGTATAAGGAGGTACTTCAGTTACAGATGTGATAATCCTATGTTGCCCTTTTAAAATTAACCTTCCCCAGAATGACATCTCCTAATTTTTAATATTATAAATTTCTTTGCCTTTAAGTTTTATATAAATTGACTGTGCAATGTGTATTCCTTGTGTTATTTATGAATAGTGCTTCTATAGCATTCATGTACATGACTTGTTGGGCATAATTTTATGGTTCTGATGGGTAAATACAAAGGAGTGGAATTACTGGGCTATAGGAAATACATAGAAATTATTGCCAGTTTTCCAAAGCTGTTGCAATCTCTACTTTAAGCAGTGTGAGTTGATTCCATTATATCCTTGAAAACCATACACCATCTTTTATATGTCAGCCTTGCTGGTGAGTGTGTATTGGCATCTTGTTATGGTTATGATTTACATTCTTCTGATGATTAAAGAAGTGTGAATATGTTTTCATATTATTATTGGCCATTTGAATATTCAGAGTTGCCTTTTGCTTTATATTTGTAAAAAAAATTAACATATTTTGGATATAGATGTTTTGGTATGCATATTAAAAAATCTCCTAGCATACAGATTTTAAAGAATGGTAAGGTCTGTGTGGTATCTCATTTTTACAAAGAGGATAGATAAAATGTAAATGAAATTCTCTAGTGGGCTATACTGAAATATCCTTGACCTTTAATATTTGTTAGTGAAGTATACTCTTTGAAACCATTCCAAGAAGTTAAAATATACACTGTTTATAATTTATTTTTTAAAATATAAAAATTTTCACTCATTGAATGTTTACTAGTAAAAAGAACTTCCATATATCCTTCATCTGGACTTTTTTTTCCTGGTACCAGGGATCGAACTCAGGACCTTGCACTTGTGAGGCAGCATTGTGCCACTGAACTAAATCCCTGGCCCCCCAGATTTTAAAACGATTCACATTTAGCTCTACTTTTTTTTTTAAACTTTTTTTCTACTTTATTCTGTAGATTTTCTCTCTTCTACGTATGTATCACATATTTTTCTGAAATATTTCAGAATAATTTGCACATTCATCCATTAAAACCTAAGTATTTCTTATGAACAAAACTTTTAGGAAACTACGATTCAAAGAATTTGGAAATTTAAGATTGGTATAATACCTATTCACCATCTTATTGACATTTTACCAGTTGTATCAATAATAGCCTTCATAACTTTATTTTTTTTCCTGGCCAGGGATCCAATCCAGGATCACACATTGGTTTTGGTTGGTATGACCCTTTCTTCTTCATAACCTCACCACTGTTTAAATTCATTCCAGTTTTGGGATTAGATACATAGCTCCGTGTGAGAGTCCTTGGCTGGTATGTACCAGGTCCAATGTTTAGCACTGCGGGGGGTGGGGTAGAAAACCAGAAGCAGAACAAACAAAAAGCCTCCGAAAGAATACATACTAATTTTTCTGTAGAATGGCTTTCCATTTACATTGTTCCTCTGTTCATGTCTGGGGTCAGGTTACGTATATATGGCAGGCATGTCACTGAAGTAATACCTTTGATGTGTTACGGGAATTATACAAGGAGACACACCATGTCCCTCTGTTCCCTTAATTATTGTTTTTGACTTTGTTCACTTTGTTAATCCATTGCAAGGGTAGTTTTACCTTTTATAATTAAAGACTAATTTGGGCTGAGGGTAGAAGTCTGTGGTAGAGTGGTTGCCTATCACATAGCCTTGGCCCTAGGTTTGGATCTCTACAACTACAAAGCAAAGACAATAAAAAAAAAACCTCACTAATTTATGAGTAGATACTTTAAGACTACTTAAGTATCTCATTTATTTCAAGCTTTCACCCACCTCTTCTATGATACTCTTTTTTATTATTGTTTGTAAAAATTGATCTAACTGTAGTATTTCCTCTTCTTCATTTTATTCATCCTCTGCAATAATGGTTCCTAAAATTACTTTCAAAACATCAGATGACCTTAGGAAATTTTATCTTGATCTGTCAGAAATTATCAAAAACGTGTGTGTGTGTGTGGTTCATTTAACCAGAATTATTTAAGGTTAATTAAACACTTTTAAACTTAAAATCAATTCGTGTGAATGTTTGACACTTTATTGTAACAGATTGGATTTTTCTGAAGTGAAAATTTAGTTGTAATTAGTCCACATGCAGTAAATATAGGTAGTGAATACAGGTAGAGTTTTCTCTAAATATCATTAGTTAAGACATAGGGCAAAATGTGCCTTCTGTAAATTGTTTTATCAGATATAACAGTATGATGCTTGTAACTGTCATAAGTCGATAGTGAGATTCATGGGAAGAACTTACATATACTTGTAGAAAAACATTTTATCAATCAAAAATTAAAATGCTTTTTTGTTTTTATATTGCAGATTGGTTTTTCAGCAGCAGATGCAGTAACAGGACTGAAATTGGTAGAAGAAGGAGTACCTAAAGAACATTTAGCATTACTGGCAGTTCCAATGGTTCCTTTGCAGATAATATTGCCTCTTATTATCAGCAAATATACTGCAGGTCCCCAACCACTAAACATATTTTACAAAGCCATGCCTTACAGGTAAAAACTAAATAAAATTGTACCAAAGTAAGAAATTTTAAAATGAAGAACATCATTATCACTAATATCTGAATATAGAGAGTGTTCTGAAAAAGGCTTGAAGAACATCTTTAATATCAGTGTCATTTTATGTGCACTTTTATCTCTTTAACCTCGTAATGGGTTTTAGTACAGGCTTTTTTCATGTGATTGGCAAACAGATTTCTGTTTTGCTATTGTTTAACCTAAAATGAAAATTAATACAATGCTCCTTTTTCTATAGATTGTTATTTGGATTAGAATATGCCCTACTAGTTTGGTGGACTCCTAAAGTAGAGCACCAAGGAGGATTTCCTATATATTACTATATTGTAGTGCTGCTGAGTTATGCCTTACATCAGGTAAGCTTGCTGTGGCTTTCATGGGAGATAAATTGTTCTGTAGCAGAGGAGAAATTTTTCTATAGCTGCCTTCAAATAATGATAATAAATTTTAAGATTTAAACATGACTGTGACACTGAGAAAATTGTTTGGTGATTAACTTTAAGCCTTCTGGCTTTTGATATCATGAGTTCTGTTTATGGAAAGTGAGTTTCTTATTTATTCAGTCATTCATTCCTTTAAAATTTTTTTCCTTTAACAAGAATTTGTTACATATTAGAATTGATTTCAAAACCAACTAATTTTACTGTTGCTAAGTATCCCTGTCCATCTTTAGATCTGGGTTCTTTCTTAATTTCTAATATCTTTTCTTCCTGAAAGTACTGAGAACTAATCTTGGCTACTGAATTAAAGATCTAGATTTTGATTTAGATTCTGTACTGAAAATTACAACTTAGTGTTTCTAATTTTGGAAGCTGCTTTTTCTGTGTTCCTCTTCATAACCCCTGAAAGAAGTGATCTTACTTTTCTTTAGTCTCATTTAAACTCTTTTTACAGAATGAAATTTGTTGTTTTAGATGCAAGTGATGCAAGTAAATAGGACAGGCCCATTTACTTTTTACAAAAGAGTAACTTTTTTTTTTTTGTGGTACTGGGGATCGAACTCGCAAAAGAGTAACTTTTGATACTCAATTGTATTTATTGCTATGATATATTTCACCGTGTGTTTTCCTACCCAAACTAATGTAAGCTCTTTGAAAGTTATATTTACTTCTTACTTAGTTATTAACTTAAAATATGGCTTACAGGCATTCTCAATTTTTTGCATATAATTAAATTTCAATTCATAGTAGATGTTTGACTCTGCCATATATTTTTTAATTTGAGGCCAGGATATTAAAATGTTTTTATTTTTCTCACTGTTAATACTAGGCACATAATAGAAATTGAAAGAAGTATATTCACTCAATATTTTAATTTTTTACAAAAGAATACTAGATTTTTATAGTCCACAAAATATTTGTCTTTAGATTTCATTACAGAACTTACCAAAATATAATCAGATTTTTTTTTTTTTTTTTTTTTTTTTAGTACTGGGGATCGAACTTGTGAGGGAAGTGGTAGAACCAATGAGCTAAATCCCTGGCCCAATATAGTCAGAAATTTAAACAACTAAATGCTTTGTGAGAAGAAGGTTACAAGGCCAAGTAGATATGAGAAATGATGTATTATGTAACTTCTTGGTAAATAGCACTTTAACATTCCTTTAAAAAAATATTAAGCAAACACCAATTTCATACCAGTATGCTAAGTATGAGCATGTAACTGAATTAAGATGTGTTATGTACATATACCAACTCCTTCTGAGAAATGTGATCATTTTGTATTGCAAACATGTACTAATAAAAAATAAATATTGAAAAAATAATTTGCAGAGACAAAGTAGCACAGTTTATGGAAAATAAAATATGTGAAATTCTGTAAAAATAAGATAACTGAACAAATTGTGCCACAGTCCTTGCCGTCTCAAGGAATATATGTTCTAAAAATTGTCAGAAAAAAGAAACTTTAAATTTTGCATAGCTTAGTATCTCTCCATCTTATTTGATTTGGTACTCCTTTTCTATGAACCATGGGACAGTGCTTAAAGGAGTACTGTTTTAGTTTGTTTCCATCTTTGTAAGTAGAAAGTTAATTTTTACTTCTTAAACAATTTTTTTTTCTTCTTTTTTCAGTAGTAGGGGCATCTTCATTGAGCTAAATCTCCACCTTTCTTTGAGACAGTTTTTTGAATTGTGAACCTCCTGTCTCAGCTTTCCAGATTGCTAGCATTACTTTAGTGTGCCACCATACCCAGCTATTTTTTGCCTGTTAAGGCTTTTCTGGGGCCAGGGATTTAGCCTAGTGGTTCCACCGCCTGCCTTGCAAGCATAAGGTCCCAAGTTCAATCCTGGTACCAAAAAAAAAAGAAAGAAAAGAAAAAGAAAAAGGTTTTTCTTAGGCTGTGAATGTAGCTGAATGGTAGAGCCTTGCTTAGCATGTAAGAGACCAGTGGGAAGGGGGGAAAGAAAAGACTTTTAGTATTCCTTTGTCACATAAAGTTTGAAGTGTTATTTTTCTTCTGTGTGTGTAAATGAAAAATGTATTCACTTCCTTGAGTATTTACATATATAAATACATATACAGATATCAGGCTTTTGGTTATTTGCATCCTTCAGTGCCACCTTACCTGACTCTCTCTATTGAACATTCTTTGACTCTTCATGGTAGAATTATTATGATAATACTTACTGCATTTTATCATAAGTATTTACTCCCTATTTTCCTAGCCTATAATGAATTCTTTAGAGGCACAGGAAGATGTTTATGTTTGTATTAACATGATCTTAAAGCCTTACTTTTAGTATGTGTTCAATAAATGTTTGTTGAATTGAGTTTAGTAGCAATCATAAAAATTTACCTCATTTATGATTTTAATGTTCTTAATTTATGTCATAGTTTTGTAAGTCTAATCATAGCAATTGAATATGTAGCCTAGAGGTAGAGCACTTGCTTAGCATGTGTGAAACACTGAGTTCAATCCTCAGTAACAAAAGAAAAGCCAATAAAAAAAATGATCTAATCATACTAAAGATATTTTACATTTTTTCTGTAGGTTACATTATACAGCATGTATGTTTCCATAATGGCTTTCAACGCAAAGGTTAGTGACCCACTTATTGGAGGAACATATATGACTCTTTTAAATACTGTGTCCAATCTGGGAGGAAACTGGCCATCTACAGTTGCTCTTTGGCTAGTGGATCCCCTCACAGTGAAAGAGTGTGTAGGGGCATCAAACCAGAATTGTCGAACAGTTGATGCTGTTGAGGTAAGCATGCTTTAATTTTATGTAATACTAAGTAAATATTAAGATATTAATTTCTTTGTTTGACTCTAGAAATACTGTGTCTTATGTAAAAATCATATCTAGGGCTGAGGATTTAGCTCAGTGGTTTGGTGGCCTGCCTTGCAAGCACAAGGACCCGAGTTCAATCCCCAGTACCAAAAAAAAATCATATCTGTTCCAGCCGGGGATTTAGTTCAGTGATTCTGCCACCTGCCTTGCAAGCTCAAGGTCCTGAGGTTGATCTTTGGTAACAAAAACAAAACAAAACAAAAAAATCATATCTGTTCATAGTTTCTAGTATAAAACTCTATGAATACCCTCTTCACCATCATAACTATAGGTTATAACACTTTGATATCAGCAAGACTAGCTCACCTAAAGAGTGAAACTCTGCAAAGGAGGAGGCCTTTCCCTTACCCTTAGGATCACTGTGCTACACATTAGGTGCTGAATACAAGCATAAGTAAAGGCTAAGTTTTATAAGGACAGTAAAAGGAAAATCCCAGTGGCTATACATGTTGTAGCTAAAAAGACTGGTGAGTGTTTTGTGGATAAATTATTTCAAAATGTCATTAGTTACATCTAGAGTGAGTTCCTTGGAAATTTCTTTATATTTCCAAATATGAAAAGCTGCACTTTGAAAACAGATATTGTTTACATCAAATGTTCACAATTGTTTTTAGTCCTATTAGTAGCATTAAAGATTAAGATATATTAAAATATTTTATCATTTGGAGTGAGTGAAGTATTGAAATATTTTAATAATTTTTTGATTAAGCCTTTAAATTATAAAATAGAAACTAATTTTTGAATAGTGTCATTTTGAAATTGTGAAATATTCATTATTTTATTTTTACAGCTCTGCAAAAAACTTGGTGGCTCATGTGTTACAGCACTGGATGGTTATTATGTGGAATCTGTTATTTGTGTTTTTGTTGGATTTTGTTGGTGGTTCTTTCTTGGACCAAAATTTAAAAAGTTACAGGATGAAGGACCATCTTCATGGAAGTGTAAAAGGAGCAATTAGAGCATAGACTGTTCGATGTCCTAGAAGGTAATTATAGTTTGGTTTTAATTGAGAGAGCTCTGATAATCAGTGCACAGGAATATAAAATGTTATTTTAAATAAGGAAATTATCAATATAAAATGCCAAATGATGAAAAATAGAACCTCTCGGTATGTTTAATCATATTTTTGCTTTGCCTTGTTAATGTATTTGAAGTTTACTTAAAGTCAGGAAATTTGTTCTCAAAGTTTTCTAGCATTATTATTTGATTTATGTCTTCTTAATTTACTGACCAAAGCATGTTTTAAGCTGCAGTGTAGTAGTCATGGGTGGTAACGGTACAGTCAAGTATTGTTACCAGTACCTATCATTGAACTGTAATTTAAAATTTTGGTACAGTATGTTAAATGAAAGAGAGCTTGATATTCAGAAACTAACTACAACTAATCTGATCTTGTTGGCAGTTAAAAATGTTTTTTTGAATTGTAAATTGGTTAAATTTCTTGCAGAATTTGCTGAGAAGAGACTAGACTACTGAAACATCATTTAATTGATTTCTGACCATAACCATATTGTACAAATGCATCTGTGTGAAAAAGACTATTTTAAATGTATTTCCTGCTTTTGTAAGCATTACAGATTTATAAGAAGATAATTCAAACTATTTTTTATAAAATGAAAGCTACACGTTTTTAATTTATTGATTTCTCCCACCCCATCTCCTTTTTTTTTGGAAGATACTTTGATTCTTTGTTGACTTTTACCCTAATGGTTATTATTATTATTATTATTTGTTTTTTGTCATAAGTGCTTCATGGGACAGAGACAGCTAACAAGGGGATCAAATTTAGTGTTGTATGTATGTTCATGGCAAAGTTTTGAAAATAAAAATTAAATTTCATTCCTCAAATAGTTTTTTTAATTACTAAGAAAAATATTACAGCTTTCCAATTAAGTAAAATTGAAATGAGTAATACCATAATTTTAAAAAATATTTTAAAGAAAGAGAGACATTTTGTGCCTTTGACAAATTAAATCATGTGGTAGGAGAATGTTTCTTAATTACGCACTTTATTAATAAAAATGATCTCATAATACTTTATGCCAAATCAAAGACTGTACTGTATCTTTTCTATTTATTAAAACACAACCTTTTGTTTGTAAACTATGGTTTCCAGTGGAAAATTATATTCCAGGCATGTAAGTTTTTGAGTATATTAGCAATTTTCAACATATTTACACCCAGTATAATAAGGCTCTTTGCATATTTTGTGTTAAGTATTACTCTAACTCTTAAAAATTATATAAATTCTTTAAAAGTTAGGGAAAAAATCAGTTACAAGTTTTAGTTCATTTTATCTTTGTGGGAAAATATATACTAACTTCTGATTTTATTAATTTTATAACATAGGTTGAGTTTTAGTACAGGGTTTTTATAAGTAATGGAGAATAAATTGGGTGGGAGAAAATGGCACAGAGTCTGAAGGAAGATAGGGGCAGTGGCCACTAGAACACATGCATTACCTTTGGAAAGCCTCTATTGGTTACGGAAGTCAGACTGTGAAGAATCACTTGGAAAAATACTCATCCTAGAGACAAGGAGGTTGCATCAAACATAGACTATAGTACTTTGTCATATGATTTTCCATTATCCTGTATTATAATCAAAATGTTTACTTGAATAAAGAAAAACCCACTTAATTTTCACATGTGGAATGTATTCTGATTTCCTAAGAAGCTCTGATTGCCATTTTTATCTCTTCACATTCATACTCTTTCAAATCAAACATGTTTTCCAACACAGTTTAAGTGTATATGTCTTTAGTGATTTTAAAGTTTTAAAACATATTTAAGCCTTTAACTGTGAGGAAGAAGCCATTAATTGCATTTGTTCTAGAAATGAACAAAAAATTATTTTGAAGTAGTCTTGTTAATTTTGGTAAATGTTTGTCATGCATACCAAAATGACTTGTTAAGAGCTGTATGCAACTGTGTTGCATACATTAATTATTTTGATTATCATAGCATTTAGAATTATCTACCCGAGTCTATCATTGTAAATCAATAGCACCAGAAAATACTACTTTAGAAAACACTCCCTTATTTTCATATGAGTAGGCTTTTTGTTTTGTTGTGTTTTCATGGCTTTTGATTGGTTGACTGTAATATAGCAAACTTCTTTCAGGTATGGACATTAACTTCTGTTAATGCAATATATATTAACTGGCTAATATTAGATTGAACATACATTATATCTCTTTTATGTCAATATTTCCATAAGCACATGTGTTATAACATGTGACCACATATACATTCTAGTTTAAACTGTTCTAAGACTAGCTAAGATTAAAACCAAAAATTCCGTTCATTGCAAATATTTTCATTTTGCCTGATCAATCACAGAAAGTTAGTTTAATACATAGATTTCTCTAGAACTTTTTATATTAAACCTTTGAAATCCAAACCTACAGTCTAAAGCTGTTGGATTCTTTCCTTCACTGCAAAGGTTTTTAGATGAAAGAGATTTTAGTGGGGACCTGAAATCTTTCAATTGTTTATAAAATATAAAAATCAGATATCTAATTTTAAATTTTGGTACATAGCTCTTGTTAAAATCTTCACGATCTGTGATCTAAAAAAAAAAAAAAAAAAAAAAAACAAACCACTTGCTCTTTTTTAATTGTT